GGTATAGATCGATGTATTTTTTTAGGGTGCACACCGAAATCGGATGCGCGTTAATGGCATATGGAGTTTTCGGAAATTATTCGCGTTTTACGATTTTTTAGGTACTTCAATGCAACGTGTGGCACATCTTAGCCGTCAAATGAAATTTCGCAAAATATATATGGATTGGAAGATAAACTTCAGTACTTCCTGGAAACCGCATGCGCATCAAATGATTTTGAGAATTACGCGATTTACAGGCAATTTAAAATGTATATTTCAAAATATTATTATATTTTAAGATTTATTCCTATTTATAGAATTCTAAGATTTATCGGAAGGGTCCTGATATAATCCGCAAGGCGTATACTTATACACAGAAAGTGATTATTATTATATATGTGTAAATTTTTCGGCGAAATTCGGGTAAAATAGCAGAATAACCCCAACATTTTTTTCTGAAATTTCATGTATACAATTAAAAAAATAAATATGATGACATTATTTTTTCGAACCAAAAACAAATATTTTTCCTCAATATCTTGTTTTGTTGCCGCTGTGATTTAGAAACCGCTACACGGACTTGTGTGATTTTGATATCATTTGATTCTTCATGGTGTTTAGATTATGTAGATATTTTTAAATTGATTTGTAGATGTGTGTATGTCATTAATATAATGAAAATATTGATGTAATCTGCTATATTTTTATTATTTTTCTCATATTTCGCGAAGATGTGCAACTTTATCGTGATTATTATAATATATTAATATTCTTATTTTACGGAGGAAGATATATATCAGCGTTTTTGGTCAATATAATAAACGGCGTAATTTTAAGATTTTTTTCTTATGCCCAAAATTAAAACCTCGATAACTTTTGCGCGCATCAACCAAAAATTTGATCGCGAACGGTTTCGGAGTCAGAACATTTTTCTCTATATGTGTACCAAAAATCATTGATGTGCCACAAAAACAAAAAAGCTGATTTTTTGAAAATGGAATATTAAAAAATTGGCAATATTGCCCATATATATATATATATATATATATAACATGCAAACATATATAACCGTTATATGGCGATATACTAAAACGTGGCCCGATATATCCCATTTCCAATACCAAACATCCTAGGAGTAATAATAATATATGTGCAAAATTTCAAAGTTCTATCTTTAATATTGCGACCTAGCATACCGTGCATATTTTGCATATTTTTGCATATGTTTTGCATTTTTTGCATATGTCTGCATATTTTGCATATTTTTGCATATTTTGCATATTTTGCATATATTTTGCATATTTTGCATATTTTTGCATATTTTGCACATTTTGCATATTTTGCATATTTTTGCATATTTTGCATATTTTGCATATTTTTGCATATGTTTGCATATTTTGCATATGTCTGCATATTTTGCATATTTTTGCATATTTTGCATATTTTGCATATATTTTGCATATTTTTGCATATTTTGCATATGGACAATGCATATTTTGTATATTTTTTGCATATATTTATCGCATATCGACCTAGCATATTTTTTGCATATTTTGCATATTTTGCATATGTTTGCATATTTTGCATATTTTTGCATATTTTGCATAGTTTGCATATTTTGCATATGTTTGCATATTTTGCATATTTTTGCATATTTTGCATATTTTTGCATATTTTGCATATTTTTGCATATTTTGCACATTTTGCATATTTTGCATATTTTTGCATATTTTGCATATTTTTGCATATGTTTGCATATTTTGCATATTTTTGCATATTTTGCATATTTTGCATATTTTTGCATATTTTGCCATATTTTGCATATTTTTGCATATTTTGCATATTTTTGCATATTTTGCACATTTTGCATATTTTTGCATATTTTGCATATGTTTGCATATTTTGCATATTTTTGCATATTTTGCATATTTTTGCATATTTTGCACATTTTGCATATTTTGCATATTTTTGCATATTTTTGCATATTTTGCCATATTTTGCACATTTTGCATATGTTTGCATATTTTGCATATTTTTGCATATTTTGCATATTTTTGCATATTTTTGCATATGTTTGCATATTTTGCATATTTTTGCATATTTTGCATAATTTTGCATATTTGCATATGTTTGCATATTTTGCATATGTTTGCATATTTTGCATATTTATGCATATTTTGCATATGTTTTGCATTTTTTGCATATGTCTGCATATTTTGCATATATTTTGCATATTTTGCATATCGACAATGCATATTTTGTATACTTTTTGCATATATTTATCGCATATCGACCTAGCATACCGTGCATATTTTTTGCATATTTTGCATATTTTTGCATATTTTGCATATTTTTTGCATATTTTGCATATTTTTTGCATATTTTTTGCATATTTTGCATATTTTTTGCATATTTTGCATATTTTTTGCATATATTTTGCATATTTTTTGCATATATTTTGCATATTTTTTGCATATTTTTTGCATATTTTTGACATGACCCCAAATATCGATCAATTAAAGCATGAAACGCCTAAATACAAAATTTGAGTCCAATCGGATAAAGCATAAAAAATATGCAAAAATCCGAGGTCTAGTTATGTATGAAGGCCTTTCAGTTTTTCCTAAGGACCAATCCTCAGGTCTTTATACTGACCAATTTGTTTGTATATAGGCACCTCAGGCCTTTATGAAGGTTTATGGTCTATATAGGGACCCCAAAGATTTCTATGAAGACATATTGTTACGTATGAAAGCCTTTCAGTTTTTTCTAAGGACCAATTGGCCGGCATAGATATCTGTGTAAATAACCTCCAGTGGGTCGATTGAGTAACTTATAACGATCCGACAATCGACAATTTTGTCTTCCCATAAAATCGTTTGCAGTAACGAAAATGTTATTCTGTAAAAATGTAGACAAATTGTCGATAAACTTTCAAAAAGCTTTTAATTTTGAACATTTTGAAAACAAAATACATACAAATTCAGAACAAAACAAAGCAGGTTCAATATTGAAAAATATTTGTCGATAAGTTAACTTCGAATATTTTGGTGTTGTTTATTAACAACATTTTTAACAATTGTTGTTAAAAACAGTTATTGAATTGAAATATTGTTTATTTTGCCGTTATAATATTTTATCGATTTGAGAATTGTTTAAATTTGATAGTGAATCGACCCACAGGTCTGTATAGACTTCTAGGTATTTATAGATACCCTCCAGTGGGTCGATTCAGTAACTTATAATTAGACCCGCTATTATTTATTAATTTCAAATTCATTTGTGATACAAAGCCTTAAGGCCATTAATACGTATCTGCTGACAAATATACATAGCCTGAGATACATTTTATATTAAACTTAAATAAATATAACTAATTTTACTTTGATAAAAATAGAATGAAGGCTCCCCAGCCATAAAAAACAAATATAGATTTTAACAAATATCCAATAAGAAGCTGCACATGTATAAGAATATCCCCACATTATTGTAGGGAATTGTCAAAATGACATAGAACTTTTAAACGGAAAACATTGTTACTATGTGAAAAAACACGTAATTCAAGTGGAAGGGTATTCCAACATCTCGCAACTCTAACCAAAAAAGATCTTGCGAAGATATTTTAATAGATTCTAGGAATGCAGACCTGTGGGTTCCTAGAAGAAACTAAAAAAAAATAAAATTCTCAAGGATACGGGGGGAATCATTTTTAATTATTTTATAAAAAATTAATAAGCAACGATATTTAACAAACATGTCAAAGGAACACCCTAGAAACAGCTTAACATGTCGTGACACATGACTATCTCGCCTGAGATTATAGACAAACCGCGTTATAGAATTTACAATCCGTTTTACTCTTTCCATATTTGAAGCAATTGTCCCAGAATATACTTCAAGCCCATATAAAACCTGAGACATTAAAAGGGAATTAGCTAGAATTTGCTTTATCCGCTGAATTAAGTACAAATTAGACGAATAAACCCTACGTAATATGCCCCATACTTTACCGGTCAATGCATCAATATGGGATTTAAAGGATAGTTCACAATCAACTATAACACCTAGACATCTATGGTGGTGTACAAAATCAATTCTTTCTTGACCTATATAAATATTTAGGGGATATGCTCGGTAATTTTTCCTAAAATACAAAGCTTTAGTTTTTAACGGGTTTACATTCAGAACATTTCTGTTTGCCCAATCAACAAAGCGATCTAGGTTCAAGTTTATGTCCCTTTCAAAAGAGTTAGGAGATTTACGACTACCATTAAAAAGCAGGAAAATATCATCAGCGAATTAATATGTCGTACAGCTTGAAGTGTTTATGTGAAGAGCAAGGTCATTCACATATAAAATAAAAAGCAGTGGTCCAAGTACAGATCCTTGGGGTACACCAGAAAATAATGAACAAGAATTAGATTTGGCACTGTTTAGAACAACAAACTGACTCCGATCTCTCAAATAAGACAATATTAGCTTGCAGGCTGATTTAGAAAAGTCAAAGTTATTCTTAAGTTTCCATACGAGCTTATCATGATCAATAGAATTGAATGCCTTAGACAAATCTAATGATACCAAAACACTTAATTTGTCCTCATTAATGAATTCACGGATAGAATCAGTCATTTTAAGAAGCAAATGAGTGGTGTTGTAACCCTGACGGAAAGCATATTGAGTATCACAAATTCTAGATGAATACTCCATAACCTTTGACAGTGCTGGTAAAATTGATATAGGTCTGAGATCACCTGGTACATTAACCGAACAGCATTTAGGTAGTGGTACCACTCGATCAGTTTTGCAACATAGGGGAAAAGTAGACGCAGTTAATATAGCATTTACCAAGTCCAAGATGATCTCAGATATATAGGGGAAAACGATTTTAATAAATGTAATGGGGATTCCATCAACTCCTATTGATTTAGACTTCACCCTACATAAAGCATCTAAAAGTTCGGATTCACAGTTTTAACAATTTGTTTTCAGTGTTTTTTTTTTTTTGTTTTTCTTTTTTTCTACATATCAAAGATATTTTTACAATTGTCTTCATCACCTTCCTCAGGTGGATCAAAATCATGAACCTTGACATCAGCATCTTCTCCATATTGGATGACATTGTCGATTTGCAGAAGCAAATCCTGTATACTTTCTTCATCGTCCACATTCATGGGTACAAAGCGAACTAAGCTGTAAAAAAGAAAAAACGGAATAGACATCAATTTAAATTAAAAAAATTAATCAATCTAAATTAATTCAAAATCAAAATTTTTTCCATCTATAAAATTTTAATCAAAAAGGGTTCTTTAGACTTCCGACCGGCGAGGATTTTTTTAAAATTCATTTTTGGGGCCTATAACCAGGCTAAGATTTTTTCAAATTAATTTTAGGGGTCTTCTTCCATGTTTGGGTTTTTTAAAAATTTTTAATTTTAAATAGGGAAAATCCTTGTTCTTATATTATTTTTCTCCCATTTTTGCCCAATTATTCTTTTCCATACCTAGCTTTTTAATGCAATGCCCAGTAGTGGGTATTTTACACTATTTTCCACATATTTCCCTTTTCTAGATATTTATTTAAATACAGTAATTTAATTTAACGAACAGCAAAACAATCCCCACACAAAAAAAGTAAACAAAAAATAGTGTTGCCAACTCAAAATAATAAATAAGAGAAACATTACCTTTGCCAGCTGTTTTTCCCCATTTTCTTTTTCCCTGCTCATTCACGACAGTCAATGCCCACAAAACATGACCAGTTTTGTTGCTAAAAAAATACCACTACAATGAAGTAAGGGGATTTTTACAATACCAAAAACCCGTTGACATATAACCATCTCTTTCTGACACACGTAGGTTAAAGGCAATGCAGTAAAGCAAACAAACGACAACATTTAGAGAATCACCAGCAGCAAATGCAGAGAAAGAAAATATCAAAAAATACTACAAAAGGCAGAAAAACATTTTGTAGATGATAAACCGAAAAAACGGGGGCAAACTCGTCAACATTTTTTTGGTAAAAAAAAAAACATTTAAAATTATTTGGAATTATATTAAAAAATGTTTAAAATATATTTAATCAGGTGTGTGAAAAAAACTGCAAGCAAAGAATTAAAGAGAGCCTAAAAAATTCCCCCCACACTTGGAGAACAAATTTGTAAAAAAAAATCCCCAGGAAAGCTGGCCAAATGGAATCCCCTAAATTGGAAATGGTGAGATCTGTCCAGGGCAAGGATATGTTATTAATAGATGGCTATATTTATCACTATGAAGATCGTAACATTAAAACATATCGTTGGGTTTGTTCCCGCCGCAAAGATAAGACACCATGTCGTGTGAGGATCCATACCAGATTGATAGATGAATGGGATTTAACGCGCCACAAATTGGAAAAGATGTTTGGTGAACATCCGCATGGTCCGGCCGATGAGAGTACCATAATACGGGCAAGGGAAAAGAAACGTCAGGCCGATGCTGAGGGTCTGCCCTGTACCTTGAGCAAGAGGTCAAGAGGTCAAATGCAAAAGGGAGGTGGAGGAGGAGGGGGTAACGATTCGGGGACCAAGAAAAATAAACCCTTAACGGATGATAATAATGATGCAGCGGAGGAGGAGGATGATAATTCCAGTGTTGATGGCAACATTGAAATGGATAGCAGTTTTGAGTTAATGCCCAAACCAAAACCCCTCGCCGACAAAGCCGTTTTGATGTTGAAAACGACCAAGGGTTACCACATGATTGCCGTGGAGGGCTGTGTCTATCGCCTGGACGGCAAATCCATGTTGAGCTGTACCTATCGTTGGAAATGTTTTCGTTCCAATGATTTGCAATGTTCGGCCCGGATTTACACCGAGTGTTTGGCCAGCGGCATGCATCGCTACAAACCCTTCAGGGTGGAGGAGAATAAACACAATCACCAGCCATATTCAGAGGCGAAAATTGATGCCCTCATACGAAGGAATAATATCAATATCATACAAATACCGGCCAAGATAAAAATGAGATATAGTACACGTCAGGAAAAATATATGGCCACGGCAGCAATGTATCGTTTTGTCAAGGATCCACGGGAGGTGTTGAAAAGTCCCGTGGGCGAAAATGATGTAAAATTGTTCTCCTTTTTGCCCTCCTCTAGGGGCAAACGTGTTTTGGTAATGGACAACATGATCTATCATTTTGTTTCTCGAGGAGTGCGTAGTGGTCACATTTACTGGACCTGTCCATTTCACCGTAGTAAAAATACACGATGCAATTATCGCTTAACAACCGAGGGTGAGGGGGAACAAATACAAATTATCAAGGTATCGGGAGAACATAGCCATACCGTGGATCATAGACGTCAAATTGAGACGAGATTAAGAATGGAAAATTTGTGGGGAAACACAACGGCAATTGGCAAACTATTTGAATTGGAAGGTGAAAATGATAGCGATGCTGATGATTCGTTTGGTCTCGATGACAATCCCTTGTATCAATCTTCGGATGAGGAAGAAGCTGGTCGTGATGCTGGTGGTGGTGAACTTGATTCCACCACTATTGACATATCCGAATTTAAAAAAGTAAAACAAGAAACAACCACAATGGAGGAGGAAGAAATTCGTGAGGATGTCATTGATGCCAAGGAGGTAAAGGCGGAATATAAAGATGAAATGGATCTATTTTATGATACCATTGAATATGTTGATGAAATGGAAAGGGTGCACAATAATAGCTCCTCACAATACCAGCAAAGTGGGTTTTCCGCCGGAGAGGAGGAAGACGAAGATGATGATGTGAAGGAGGAGGAATGTGAAGCACAAAATCACATACCACTACCCAAGACTAATGGGGGAAGAATTAAACGTAAAACCAAACGTTCCATGGATTATGAGCAGAATGATGCCAACGAAGAAGATGATAATAGTTTGAAAGTTGTATATTTAAGTAATTCTCATTCACATCCCATATCCGACAATGATATTAAGAAGCGTCTCTTTAATGAATTTTCAAAATCAACAAATTATTCATTGAAACCCAAAGATATTATGGAGAAATCGTTGACAGAATTGAATCCGGAATATGCTGAAATGTTGATGGGGAAGAACACAACCTCCAGTACTCCGGTGAAATATGAAAAGTAAGTAAATCAAGAAAGAGTGGAGAGAGAATACTTTCTGCACTCCACGGACTTCTAGGTCTTCAATAAGAAGTACCTTCACTTTTTTTTTTTTTGAAGTTTATTTAAGAATGCTATTGGGTCTCCTTTAAAGGAAATTGTGTCCAAAGATCATATTAATTTGGAAACACAATTATTTAAGATTTTTGGAAGGTATGCATTTATTGCAAAGGAGAAATGGTCTGTATAGCGGCCCGTCAGGACTTTATAAAGATCAAATGATCTGAATTAAGTTCCACCAGATATTTACAAAGTCCAATTTGTTGTATAGAGAGCTCCAGAACCAGGATAAAGACCAAATGGACTGTAGAGGCCGGCCCCCTAAGATGTTTGTAAGAGTCAATTGGTCTGTATAGTCCCAATTGGACTGTATAGGGATCCCTCAGGTCCTTATTAAGACTAATTGGTCGGTATAGAAACCTCTCAAAGCTCTAATTGATCTTTATGGAAATTCCTTAGGACTTTATAAGACCATTTGGTCAGTATTGAGGCCCCTTAGCCCTTTGTAAGGACCTTTTGGTCTGCATAGATAGAAAATAAAAACTGGTCGTAAAAAGGTTCCTCAGGTCTTTATACAGACCAATTTGTCTGTATATAGGCACCTCAGGCCTTTATGAAGGTTTATGGTCTATATATATCAACGATTTTTGAAGACATATTGTTATGTATGAAGGCCTTTCAGTTTTTCCTAAGGACCAATCCTCAGGTCTTTATACAGACCAATTTGTCTGTATATAGGCACCTAGGCCTTTATGAAGGTTTATAAAATAAATAAATATAGGGACCACAAAGATTTCTATGAAGACATATTGTTACGTATGAAGGCCTTTCAGTTTTTTCTAAGGACCAATTGGCCGGCATAGATATCTGTGTAAATAACCTCCAGTGGGTCGATTGAGTAACTTATAGCGATCCGACAATCGACAATTTTGTCTTCCCATAAAATCGTTTGCAGTAACGAAAATGTTATTCTGTAAAAATGTAGACAAATTGTCGATAAACTTTCAAAAAGCTTTTAATTTGGAACATTTTGAAAACAAAATACATACAAATTCAGAACAAAACAAGGCAGGTTCAATATTGAAAAATATTTGTCGATAAGTTAACTTCGAATATTTTGGTGTTGTTTATTAACAACATTTGTATGTCGATTCAGTAACTTATGACGATCCGACAATCGACAATTTTGTCTACACATAAAATCGTTTGCAGTAACGAACATGTTATTCTGTAAAAATGTAGACAATTTGTCGATAAACTTTCAAAAAGCTTTTAATTTTGAACATTTTGAAAACAAAATACATACAAATTCAGAACAAAACAAGGCATGTTCAATATTGAAAAATATTTGTCGATAAGTTAATCGAAAAGTTTATTAACAACAATTGTTGTTAAAAACTGTTATAGAATTGAAATATTGTTTATTTTGTCGGATTTGAGAATTGTTTTAAATTGATACAACATTTGGTCTGTTCTCGTACAGCAAGAATCTACTATTATTTACTACAACGAATTTTCCTTTTAACAACATTTTTAACAATTGTTGTTAAAAACAGTTATTGAATTGAAATATTGTTTATTTTGTCGCTATAATATTTTATCGATTTGAGAATTGTTTAAATTTGATAGTGAATCGACCCACAGGTCTGTATAGACTTCTAGGTATTTATAGATACCCTCCAGTGGGTCGATTCAGTAACTTATAACGATCCGACAATCGACAATTTTGTCTACACATAAAATCGTTTGCAGTAACGAACATGTTATTCTGTAAAAATGTAGACAAATTGTCGATAAACTTTCAAAAAGCTTTTAATTTGGAACATTTTGAAAAAAAAACATACATACAAATTTTGAACAAAACAAGGCATGTTCAATATTGAAGAATATTCTAAAAGTTCGGATTCATCCACGCAACGAAACGAGAAAGATGTATCAAATTCCGTAAAGCTTTCTATATCAATGGTAGAAACATCAGGACTTGAAGGTGTACTAGAGAAAAATTCATTTATCATATTCACATCCATATCAATATG